CAGATTAAATATTGTAAGCTCATTTTCCTCCTTTTCTTTCTGTCCTTCTTCCCCGCACAATCGACTTCTAAGTTCCCCGACAGGCTGCTGGCACGAATAAAAGTTTCTCATTAAACATCGTTCTGAATCACAATCGTCTTTGTGCCCAATAAAACCTTGTTACTGGGGTCAAGTAAAGCGAATATTGGGCTCATTTGTACGTGAAATGCTTCACCATCAAAGGTGCAAATTCACTCTAGTTTTTTGTAATCTTTGAATCAAGATTTTACTCTACAATGAAAAATTTGCAGGCGGCACGGTGGCTCGTAAAACAAAGCTGTGGCCTCTCAGCAAKAAGGTTGCTGGATCAAATCCAGGATTTTTCTGAGTAGAGTTGGCATGCTCTCTCTGTGCATGTGTGGGTTTTCTCTTGGTATTCTGGTTTCCTTCCACGGACCAAAAAAAACATTGCGCATTCATGCGTTGTTTGAAAAARTATTGACTTTCCTGTGGTAGCTATGTGGAGCTGTCGAAACGCTTGTTGTTACAAAGCCCCGCCTATTTACATACAGCTCCTCCCCGGAGCTCAGTCTGCAGGTGAGCTCCCAKKCCACAGAGCGCCCTCCCCCGAAGCATTGTTTGAAAACGTGCTGAAGTGGGAGTGCCAGAAATAGWAGGAGGTTTCCTAAAGAGACAGAYGCTAATTTCAAGACATTTAGATAGGCWATGATGCAAAGTCAAAATTATTTTTGATATATGTAGCATTTTCATAACAACTGAAGGTAATARAATGACTTGATTYATTGAACTACATGCCTGGAAAATACATAATACATCCCCCTTTAAATAATAAAACAATATCTCGAGCACTGGAGCTTTAATTTGCATAGGAGCTCTCCCCTGACAGAAAATGTCTGTGTCAAAAATCTAAGTCTGAAAACCACTCTGATGATAAATAATTATTTAAAAACTGGCTCAAATATTATTTCTAAAGTGTACCTCAGTAGATTAAATCATAAACTTGGKGGACYGTTAAAAATGMTTAAAAAGCAAACTGAAGCAATGTGGCCGGTGGTGGGCAACAAACGTCCAAGATTACAGTTTTACCGCGCATTCAAAAATAATCGGTGATTTTGAATAATTTGGCTGCACAACATGTGCCCACGTTGTTCACTGGTCACTCTGTCAATAACACTCAGAATTCTGTGAGACTTCGAAAAATAAGTCTCTTTTTTTTTTTCAATTTTCAGTCGCCATCTGGTSTCCAACAGCTGTAGCCCAGTGAGATCCTTCCCTTAGGTTAAATGTGATATCGTGTTGCTCCAGTGTTGTTGAGTCTTCACATTCAACATGAGTATCAAGCACATTTAACGGAGCTAACTTTTTGRTAACAATTAAAAATTTGGAACGAAGCAGCAGGAAAACTTGCCTGTTCTCTAAGTTGATTTTATGTGTATTATCAGCTTGTTAATTTATTGCACCTCTTCATTCTGTACAAGCAGATGATTTAAAATTCTCACTACAGATTCTAGTCGGATTCTCTTACTGGACAAAGATTTTTATTTTTTACAAGACATTTGTCAGCTGGGCACACCTGTTTTTGTGTAAAATGTAACATAAAAAGACATGAATCAACTCTGCTGGTGGGAGTAAGAGGTTAGAGGGGACTTTTGAGTCTGTTTGGTTGTTGTTTTTATTTTTTTTTTTTTAACAGGACGATTCAGACGCAGGCTGTTCCCAGTGGCAGGAAACTGTGGTCTGGGCATTAACCGGTTCACTGGCTTTGCATGCTGCAGTCGCCTTGCAGCTTCACTGTGGGACATGTAAAAGCACTTTTATGTCCAATACCTGTCAAAGGTTCAGACCCGCTCGTTAGTGTGTGTGTCGCACCGGATAAAGTACTGTGTCCAAATTTGGGGTGTATTTTTTTTTCATATTTACAGCATAAGTAAAAGAAGTTTAATTTCTAAAGACAAAAGGTTATAAAAGACCATTTCTCATAATCAGATAAATATAAATTACTGTTTTAATGTAGTAAAATAAAACTAGCTTCCTATCCAGTCCAAGCTATAGACCRAAATATTGGATTATTTGTTGTTCAGTTTTGGTTTTCAAAGCCATTTATTTATTCCGTYTGATAAAAGCTTCCAGCTCTGTTTCCATGCATTATGTTTCGGAGCTCTTACCTCAGATTTTCTATCATGTGTGGCTATAAAGGCTGCTGAAGACAGTTTGTAACTCCTGTGTTACACWACTGAAGATTCTGACATGTTTTACTTTGACATGTCTTTTTTTTTCTTTGCAAAAGCCATCATCTCTGCATCTTTTAGATTTTTTACGATTTTTGTGAAGTGTTCTCCTCCATTCTTTCCTCTACCAAGTAAATTATGCCCTTCTCTGCCTACTGCAGCACAAGCCCAAACCATAATCAATTCATCAAACTGATTCACAGACAGAGATGTGTTGTTTTTCTGAAACTGCGCACAACTTTTTTTCTCTCCAAACATAACGTTTGTTGTTAAATGCATCAGGCAGATTTAGATGCTTATTAGCAGAGTTCTGCTGAATTTGGGGTGAGGATGAAAYAAAAAAAAGGCTTATTTGGAGGGGGCTGTTGGATGAAAGTCATATTTGTGCAGATGTTGCAACAGTGCTSCACCACTCAAACTCTGCTAAATAGTAATGAAGAACAGGGAGTTGGGTTTCTTTTTCTGCTGAACCTGTGAGTTCAGATCACCTAAGTTTGCAGTGTGCTGCTCCAAAAGTTTAGAAAACAGTTCTGCTGTTTTTTTTTTATTTATAATGTTGCTTCATTTTTAATTTCATGAAATCATCCAGTTTCAAAAATCTTTTCCTGACGACTTCAGTCAGAGAGATTTTGTGTGCCGTCATTTCAAGTAGGTTTGGTCGTAGTGATGCCCCGTGTGTGAGGAAAAACAAGCCGCATAATGTCATGAAAAGGTCAAATCTAAAAGGAAAGTGGTTATTTTTTTATTTGAATATAGCTTTTTCACACGTTGTTTTTGAGAAGAAGTTGTTTTAGAAGTCTGAAAAATGAAATGGGCTCGTTTTGGCTAGCCTTTAGCACAGCCTGAGGGAAGGCTCCTGCCATTTTCTTCATAATATGTTKATATTTCTATACATGTATGAATAGACAATAAATAAACAATTCCAGAGTTTGAAGCTTCAAATCGAGCTTTGTCACCTTGTAAGATATATCAACTTGAGAAATTAGAATTTATGCATGCATTTGTGGACGTGTGAAAAAAAATCTAAAATTGAAAAAAAAAGGGGGGTAAAGTTACACAAAGACGCTAAAAATACCAATGTGTTTTTGTGAACACTTGTTTACAGGTTTTAAAAAAGATAACACTCTGTAAAAGTAAGACCTTAAAGTCGATGTTTGTGACTCTGAAATTGAACATCGGAACTCCGGACATTTTTGAGAGTGATCAGGATCGTGTTCTTTATTTCACGTCCTTCAACATCAATAATCAGAGATCAAGGCGAATTCTTCATCAGGTAAACAACAGACAGCTTCATTCATTTTTGAAGCGTTGTCAGTGGTTAAGCTCTAATCCTATAAAAACACAGCTTTCCTAAGTATTCAGGGACACATCCAGTCCTAACCAGCCAAAATGACTTTTACTCCCTAATTTGATTTCATTTGTTCATGCCCACTCATCTGTGGAGATCAGGATCCGAGGCTTCTAAAATTRCACGAGAGCTCTGTTTCTGTTTGTTATTTTGACTAGAATTACCAGATCATGAGATTAAAATGTTTAATGTAAATAAATAGACGTTYAATGATAACCTCGCACCATGAAGTAAACAAAGCTAGCCTATTTTATTTCTCACCAGCAAAAAATATCAACAATCATGCTTTGTTTGTCTGTTAGTAAAATGTCTCTTGAACCAGTAAACAGATTTTYAAGAAAGTATTAATTAGATGTACATCTAAAACTGATTAAAATATTAAGTCAGCCTCAGTTAACTGAGCTTAGCAAACACAAAAATAGCRATAAGTCAGTCATTTTACATATAGTGAGCTAAAATGTATTGTGCTAGTAGCAGTGTTGTATAAAGTACCACAAAGTGATGTTTGAGTAAAAGCACAAGTATCTTACCAAAAAAGTACATTGGTAAAAGCTAAAGTTTCCTTTAGGAATATTACTTGAGTAAAAGTATTAAAGTATCTGATAGTTTTTGCATGTAAGTATTAAAA